CTACACCAGTGGACCCCAACCTTGGGCCTCCAGATATTCTTGGACTTCAACTCTCAGAAATCCTGGGCAGCAGAGGTGGTGGTGAAGGCTTCTGGGAGTTGTAGTCCAAGAACATCTGGAGGCCCAAGGTTGAGGACCATTGCACTACACCACACTGGGAGCCCTTCAAGTGAGCAGTTACTAACAAATCTTTCTTCAACGTGCTACATACACAGAACAAACATTTTAAGTGTTCCAAGTATTTTGTATCCATTATCTCTATAATATTTGTTACAACTCCCTAATTAATAACGTGGCTACACTGAATTTGATGTAAATGTTGAGAAAACTCTCTCTGTGTGTACATGCATGCTCAAACTAAGGAACTGAGGAGACATCGATGAATCAGGGACTTTTGAGCTCCTACATTTATATGCATATCTCAGTGTTGTATGGGTTTTCCTGTTAGCTCACACTCAGATTGCTGACATAAACCATCTGAACATTAGCCTCAACAAATTCCTGTTGCAATACACAGTGCTCCTGGACTAATCATCATCATCATCATCATCATCATCATCATCATCATCCTTGAACTGTAGAGCTGGAAGGACCCTTGTAGATAATCAAATCCAGCCCCTGCCAAGGAGGCCCAGTAGGGGACTGAACTCCCAACCTCTGGCTCCGCAGCCAGGGGCCTAAACCACTGAGCTATCCGACGCTGTGCTCCCTACCTCAAAAGCTTGTATCATAATCCCATATTAATTTTATTAAATCCAATGAACATTCATCCCTGATGAGTACAGCATTCAAACTTTAGGCACTATACTATTCCAGAAACTTAGACACCATTTTTTACATACTTTGACATGTGGATTTTCAATACACCATTATTGACAATGTCATATATTTTCAAATGCTCTATATGCTGAACCGTAATAAACTCTTCTGCAAACTCTGTTATATGTCAGGTATAACCATTTGTCACCAGGAGAACAAATGAAAGGCTCTCTTCCATGCTATGATGGTTATTACCATGTGCTGGAACAGTTATTGCGGTTTGTTTGTTTGTCCACATAAAATTGTAAATGGTTATATTAAATGATACTATAAAATAAAGACAAAAAAGCAGAGAATACATTGTGTTTACTCTAGGACTCCTGTAGGACAACACTGAGTAAATAATTTATCTTACATTAAAAGTGGCAAGTTAAAATATTTAACTCCCAGGCGTTGGCAACTGATGGGAAAGTATGCATCAGTATAGCATGAAATATTAAGAACTAGCATCTGAGAGGCCAACTGCAGCTCATTAACACTATACATTTATTTCTCACCTCACCTCAGCAACTTGGCTCCTGTATTTTAAGACACACCTACCATTTCTGTAGTAGGTTACAATGTACAGTCAAATGCACCAGCAAAAAGAAGAAATGTAAAGTCTTTGTTCTAAGACTTCTCCTCCATCATCCTAGCAACAAGTTCCAGTGTCACAGGAGTGAGAAACTGCTGCACAGATCTACAGTCCCAGCTAGTCTGGAAACCACAAAGAGGGGACATCACACCCAGAGTACCTCAGGCCTCTTAACTCTCACCTCCCCAGATCTCCAGCTGCAAAAGCCGGTAACTTCCCTCATGTAGACACACAAACCACAAAGTGGGAGCATAGCCAGTAAAATCTCCAGGCAACACCATTTAGCAATAACTGCTTTGTAGTAAACACATTCCCTCATTTTACCACATCTCTAAGGATCTGAGGCAAAATATAGCAGGCCAGTGCTTATACTAAATTAGATGTATGGGAAATCATTATAAATCAACAAGTAGGCCTTTTATGAACTCTTCTGAAAAGAAATCATATTCTCTTTTCCTTCTAAGTTAAATACTTAACTCATGCTTTCATATTGTGTCTAAAGTTTAAAATTGAATTAAAAAACCACTCTTCTTGCTCTACCCCACCCTATAGTTAAGAAAACAAAGAATAATAAAGTTTAGACACAGTTTAGGCACACCTAAGTCCCACTGACACTACTGTGACATCAGCACACAGTATGTCCATGAAATTTAGGCACACCTAAGATTTGTAGGGCTACACCCAGTAACACTGTCATACTCAGTTAGCTAGAAAAATCAATTAATGTGCTGTCGTCAATTCCGACTTACGGCAACACTTTTCAGGTAGAGAATAATTAGCTGTGGTTTACTATTTCCCTTGTGAGGCACAATGTGGAATCGTATTCCCAACCTCTGGCTCTGCAGCCAGATACTCAAAGCACTGAGCTATCCAGTCAGCTACCAAAAGCCTCCACAAAAGTTTAAAAGAGACTGAGTGGGAGTTTTTTTAAGAAAGCAAATGTGGAACTAAAACTATGGACTACTGGGGGGGGGAGAGCAACAAAAGCAGGTGCACTGCAGTCCCACCTTGAATAACTGACAGCCAAAAGAAAAACTTCTATGAATCAGAACAGCAGATTATGGACTTTTTCTATCACATTTTCCTCTCATGGTGCACATTCTTTGAAAGAACACAGCTCTCAGCCTCCATCCTGAAAAGATGGTGCGACTAACATATCAAACTGGCCTTCCCTTCCCATTAATCAGCATCTAAGCCAAAATGAAAGACATTATGCAGCCCCTCATACTCAAATAGTAAATATAAGACAATTAAAAAACCTTATTCCTTATTCAATTTAAACTCATTTTGGTTATGCATAAGTTGCCAAAGGCCTATAGCTATCGAATATCATCAGTCTGGTAATGGATTACATGTTTGCCTGAGACTTTCATGCACTATTTCAACACTACATGAAATGTTTTCACACATTATTTCCTAAACTTCTGATAGCAGAAACTACTTTCCTTAGTTAAAATTGGAGGCATGCTTTTTTAAATATACTTGCCATTTTTATTGTTTCAGAGAATATAGGAGTAAGAACCTGTGTTTTGCATGCAAAAAGTCCCAAAGTCAGTTTCTGGCATCTTCAGGTAGCTAGAAGAGACATCTGCCTGAAACCAGGCAGAGTTGCTGCCAACCACTGTAGATAATATTGAGCACCAGGTTGGAGGAGGGTTGGATTTGACCAAACGTGTTGGATTTGACCACCCCTCATCCTGCCCCTTCTCTGCCTGTTTTTGTTCTTCTTTCGCCAACAGATCTTAGTCAACAAAACAGTTCTGTGGCAAAAGCGCATTTTTCCTGTCAGAAAAGGATCAAGGCCAGAAGAAATTTGTGTGTAATGCTAACTCTCTACACGTTTGCGTCAGGATTGCATGATTAAGGCACACAGGCTAAACTCAGATCCCATCCACACGGATGTATTGCTCAACATTCCTTGCACTTGTGATGGCTGGTGGCGGTGAATTTTGTTCTGATTCGCTTCAGTGCACGATCTGCTCATGTATCACATACCATATTGTTCTATGCTGATCCACACATTTTGTGGGTTGGTGTCTTTTGATGACATTTCTTTATGGGTACTTTTCTGTTACCCCTCTATGCCTTGTGGATGGATAAAACAAGACAAGGGAGTAGAAAGTGACTCGGGTATGGAGAAGGCAGAGAAAACAGGCAAAAGGGGAACAGCAATCTGTGTTGGGAGTGAGGCATGAATATGCGATTCCAGATCTATATGGACAGGTGGTACCGGGATGACGCAGGGCATCTCAGTAGATCAACAAATACTTAATACAGTGGAGTCTCTACTTAAGAACTTAATCCGTATTGGAAGGTGGTTCTCAAGTTGAAAAGTTCTTATGTTGAATCTGCATTTCCCATAGGAATGCATTGAAAACCATTTAATCCATATCTGCTCTTTTCCGTCCATAGAAACTACAGTATGTGGACACAAATACTGGGATGATCTATTCAAATCTGTAGCAAAAATCCCAGAATGATCCAAAATGAACTGTAAGAATCTCAGAATGACCAGAAAAAACACCCACTGTGCAGGTAAGCCCTTGGGGTTCCATGAAAGCAGTCATAAGCAGTGAGAGCATATCACAGGTATCTACTGAATGGTACCCTTCATGTCACTACTGACCAAGCTACAAAAAGATCAATCCATGCACCCTGCCATTTTCTCTTTGTTTTTTAAGTTATTTTACTTAAACCCTTTTACCAGTTGAACACTTTACATCTTAGCATTAAAATTTCAGGCATGCTTATACAGCAATTCATATGAAAAGAATCAAACACCAGCAAGGCTCCCTCTCCTACCTCCTTGCTTGCTTCAAGAAATATTTTCTTAATTTCTACTCTCCACTGGAATACCTTGCAGCGTGCAATATTCCCACAGCACTGAAAACTCCACCTCTAACTTAGCAAAGCTTGCCCCATGCAGAAATCTTAACTCTATCAACTCTAGGCTACATCTCACATTCTTTCCCCTTGTGAAACCATCTAGCCAAAGCTAAGATGAAGTGTGCTTTGAGCAACCATCTGGACTAGAATTCATTTCAAGAAATCAATAATAAACAGGGGTTCTGAGAGAAAATTCATGAACCTTTGGTACTGATTATAAACTAAAAGAAACAAACATAAGAAACTGAAACAGCTTAAGTTTTACACTCTAAAATTATTTTTAGCAAAACAAATTAAATAAGCAAAATAAAGTTAAAAAAACAACAGAGAGTTTTCAAAAGCCTAGGTATCTCTGCAGACCCCAACAGCTAATCACTACAGGTTTTCCAGAAACCAAGTACGGTATATTGCTTTAACAGTTCTCTTACTGCTTTCTGTAGATGGCATAAAACCCCAGTTGTTCCTGAATACTCAAGAGATTTTTCACTAAATTAATTCCATGACCAATTAACAGAAAAAGAGTAAAGGTTGTTTTTAGCACTCTGTGAGTGGAAGAAACAAGCAAACATGATAGAATGCCTGATAACAGTAACAGTACAACAGAGTAACACTTGCATCGTCCAACGTTGTTTCTCTCAGTACCAAGAAACCCATTAAGACATTTGGAATTTATATTTAAGTTAGATCGAATCAAGAATGTTTTTTTTATCAAGCAGCTTACCTCTGTTCATTTTTGTTTTGGCTGATCCAGGAAAAATATGAAGGACTACAAGTCTTTCAAGAGATACCTCTCACCATCCCAAACAGTTAAGTAGTAATAAAAGCAAAATGCTGGTGTTTACGAGTTCACATGAAAGAATTCTGAAGTAATGTTGCTCCCATCTGATTTAAAAGGCACAACCCTCTTCTTATAAACAGTGAGGCATCATGCTATGCTACTGTGCTTCTTCTCAAGTGTATGCAAGATATTGCCTTAGGGCCTGCAAATGATCCCAGTATTTGCCTCTGAATTATTTCACTCAAAGGAGAAAGCACCCTATCCTGAGTTGCTAGGAAACAGAGAGGGAGTTCCTGACCTGAATTCTTAGTAGAGTTTGATGTTGCCCAGGAAGCTTAAGGACTTCCCTAGTTCCTTGGAAATAAAAGATACACAAACCTGTGCAATTCTTCAAAATATGTGAAATCCACAAAAGCAAAAATCAAGCTTATTACAATCTATTTACAAAAAAAGGAGAACAGAGAAATGATTAAGGGATTTGTTCATTAGCTTTTAGAAACTCTTAGAAAAAAAGCTTTCTAAGACAAAAAATTGCATGTTTTAACCATGTGTAGTATTTTTGTGCTTCTCAAAAAAAAAGCATAGCACTTTTTTCTAAATTCATGATGAACAATTGATTGTGGTAGAGGGGAGCTCTGCAAAGGCCACAGCTCCCTTACTCAAAGTAATTTGCTAACACAGACTGGAATTGAGACAACTTACTTTCATGGGCTACAATTCTGAGACCCTTCTAGAAAGCATACATGTTGGCCATGCTGGCTAAGGCACTTTAGAAACTGTATTCCAAAATAGCAACTTTTCTAAAACTCTGACATAGATTCAGTTTATTCTCTTACCTCCAGATTGGCAAGGAAGAGTGTCAGATTTGACATCATGAAGTGATCTCTAACTTTCTAAAAAATATTAACTTAAGCAAAGTTCCATGGACTGTAACTGAATTTATTTCCACTTCATCAAAACAAGACATAATGTCCAAGTAGGCAAACTAATTCATGCAGAACTATGGTCTTCAGAAATCCATGCAACATACTTTTATGATAAGAGAGTACACAGATGTTCTTTGGAATAATACAATGAAAGAAAAGGCTATTGGCAATTCTGGCATACCATCTACCAATTACACAGCTTATCCTAAATTTGTTCTCTAGACAACTTTAAATTCTTAAAATTACTACAGCTCAAAGAGTTTAAAATATATAATTGATTATAATGTGAAATGTATGTTATAGAAATACAATGTATTATAGAAACATATTACAGAAATATGTTTTGGAATATGTTTTAATCTATGTTCCATTTTGATAAACATACAAATCTGAAGCCTCCCTTTAAAGTGGTCAACCCAGAAATTGTATTTGGTATTTGTAAAACTGTGACTAAAAATAAATCAAAGCATTTGTAAACTTTGAAAGTAGGCACACTATTGCACATTATAGAATTATGCAGCGAGCTGCATACTACAAAAGCAATGCATAGCAGGCCCACTGAATCAGCTGGAATTTGGTGATTCATCTCCTCTGTTACATTCCATTGATTTAAACTGGTCCACTTCAATTGACCACAACTAAAGTACAGTAGGTCCACTGGAATCCATGGAACTTACAGAGGCTTTGTCTCACCAAATCCTTTCTGATTCACTGGGTGTACTCAAGTGCAACTTACTAGGCTAAGTAACAGGATTTCAGGCAGTATTGCATAAGTTGTGTTTTCCCCCCACAAGCTAAATATGTATTTAGGGTTGCCAGCTTTCCCGTTTGAAACTTCAGCCGCTAACTGCTATGCTTCCCCAGTTCTCCTGGCAAGAACATAATCAGAAGATAAACAGTGCTAGAAGCAAGACTGATGTTTGTTTGTGAGCTGCTTTGTATGTGAGCTTGAGCATCCATCTCCACTTCTCAGTTGGCAACAAGCTGCACCTGCCTGGATGCCTCAAACTGGCTTTTCCTTTGGCTATGGGTTACCACATTATCTGGTTAGTTGGGTCTTACTGGGCCCATTTTATCCAGATTCCTCTGTGCCCATTTCTACAATGAGCAAGGAAGAAGTAATTCTGACCCTCTTCTCAATCTCTGTTTGCCTCCACCCCTGTGGCATCATAAGGATCAAGCTCATGGCAAGGGCCCACCTCCTAGTTTCAGGTTTTAGCTTTGAAATCTTATAGAATGGGGTGCTACTGATCTGGCAACAACATACACCTCCCATGAGTTTCCGATACATTCCTCTTGGAGAAAAGCATGTTCTGTTGATTAAGAATCACAGATCTAGAAACTGCCCAAATAGAAGTACAACACTTGCTATCCCCTTTGGGGACGTGGTGGCGCTGTGGGCTAAACCGCAGAAGCCTGTGCTGCAGGGACAGAAGACCAAGCAGTCATAAGATCGAATCCACACGACGGAGTGAGCGCCCGTCACTCGTCCCAGTTCCGCCAACCTGTTCAAAAGCATGCAAATGCACGTAGATAAATAGGGACCACCTCGGTGGGAAGGTAACAGCGTTCCGTGTCTAAGTCGCACTGGCCATGTGACCATGGAAGATTGTCTTCGGACAAAACACTGGCTCTATGGCTTGGAAATGGGGATGAGCACCGCCCCCTAGAGTCGAACACGACTGGACAAAAATTGTCAACGGGAACCTTTACCTTTACCTATCCCCTTTACTCTTCAACAGGACAAAGTATTATTAAATCCTAAGATTCTAAATGTTGAAGAAATGAAAATTAATTTTTCAAGGCAAATTTAAGAGTAACTTTAAGAAAGTTTGTTTTAAAAACTCTTTTGTTTTTATATCAAACTGGATACGATCCGTATACGTAACTGAGATGTGATATTACCTAATCATATTTGACCATAAACAACAAAGAATCCCGTGACACCTGGAAAACTAACAACTTTTGGTAGTTTTTGTTACAACAGAATCACACCACTCTGTGGGCAGTATCTGAGAGCATATGCCACTGCTGAATTATTGAGAAATCTCTTTGCAGCATGGATCCAGAATAAGCCATGTGTAACATTGATTCCCCAAGTGATGAAATGTAACCAAGCAACACTGCTTTTTTAAATCTATGTCTATTGTTATTCTAACTTAGAAAAAATAGCCTCTCAGTTGCCACAAGAGTAGCATGGAAAATCTGCCAAAGCCAAGCAGCCTAGCTAAAAAGATTCCATCATTCTCCTGCCTTCACAAAACAGATTGTAAAATGGAATTTAATAGAACATGTAACAGAATGCCTCATAAAAACAAGCATATCTTTGTTTTTCCACATAAGTATCTTTACATTCAAAGTAATTCTAATTTCGCTGCCTTAAGTAGTCAAGAGCAATGAATTATTCATTGAAATGATGAGACAGAAATTGACTTGATTAGTAGATATTATAGAAAAGCAAATGATATTCATGCTTTCCTGTACATTTTGACAAGATGATTAATTCCAAACAGAAGTTTCAAATTCTATCCCACTTCTAAAACAAAAATGCACAAGCAATAATACAATAAAACACACATAACACAAGCACAAGCCAACAATGAAACCAGATAGATTAAAAATAATTTAGTATTACATGAAATGCTAGTGATTTGTCTGCATCATTCCCACAGAAGCATATGAATTCTATAACAGTGCATGCTCTAAATTCTGCATGATAAATTCAGGCACAAAATATACACATAATTTTTTTCAGCACGCAAATTTATAAAAGTAACAAGTTATCCTCATTCCTCTTCATGTATTCATAGACAACATGAAAAGGTTGTAAAAACAGGACTACTTTAAACTAAAGAATTTTATTGATTGATTGATTGATTGATTGATTGATTGATTGATTGCATTTATATGCTGCCCATCTAGACATAGTCTACTCTGGGCAGCTCACAACATACAAGATAAAAACAATTTAAAATATATACAGTTTTACATTTAAAAAATGATATAAAATACAATATCATAAATTTACAGTTTTAACAATTAATTTAAAGCAAACAGTCCCAAGATGGCAAGAATCAAAAGAAGAGAAATAAGAATGACTTAATTGACTGAAGAGAAGGCCTGCTTGAATAGCCAAGTTTTCAGCTGGCAATGGGCTGATAAAATGCCCAGCAAGGGTGCCAGCCGAATTTCGGTAGGAAGGGTGTTCCACAGCCGAGGGGCCACCGCCGAGAAGGCCTGATTTCTTGTTTTTTCCTTCCGAGCCTCCCTCGGCGTCAGACCCCTCAGCCGTCCCTCCTGGCTGTGTCGGGTGATTCAGGTAGATCTGGGTGGGAGAAGACAATCTGCCAGGTAGTGAGGTTCCAAACCGTTTAGGGCTTTATATATAATCATTGACACTTTGAAGTCAACGCGGAAACGGACGGTCAACCAGTGCAAAGCAGCCAGAGTGGGGGAGATATGTTGTTGTTTTCTCACCCCACTCAGAAGCCTGGCTGCCGCATTCTGGACCATCTGAAGTTTCCGCGTCAGCCTCAAAGGTAGCCCCACATAGAGTGCATTACAATGGTCTAATCTTGAGATTACGGTCTAATCTTGAGATTACGAGCGCGTGGACTAGAGTAGTGTGGGGGCCCCCCTCAAGATAGGGTCACAGCTGGGCAATCCGCCATAGATAGAAATGGGATATACGGCATATGTGAAATGTGATTCCATGTATCCTCACCAAAAAGTACAGATGTAAAATTTCTTGGAAGTTTGAAGATGGGGGGGCAATATTTTTTGTTGGTGGGAGAGGAATTTTTGGGAGAAATAGAAAGATATATAATTATTTTCCTATCAGACATGAATTTAGTTCACTGCTTGGCAACATAGGATGCTTCATTTGTAACTTAATTAGCATATTATATCATAATATTTGCTATTTAATGAATTTTAAAAATAAAAAACTTGCGTTTTATACAAAGTTATGGATATACCTTATATGAAAGAGAAAGCTGAAAATCGCTGCAGTTAATGCTATTTAAGCACATGCATATTTTTCACAGCTATACATCTGAGAAATCAAAAATAAAAACAAAGCTGTACTTATTTTTCTGTGACCGAACACAAAACAAAGACAGGCTAATCATTTTGAGGGAAGCATGTGATGGAATGAACAGATATTATTTTCCTCTTAAGGCATCTTTGCTACTACTTATGTATTAAGTGTATTACATAACTCTGTAGTTAGAGTATTCACTTAAGGTTTCCCAGATTTCATTCTTACTTAAGTGAGATTTTAATTTAGAATTGTGCAGTTTATTGTTGTGGATACAAGAAAAACCAAATCAAGCAAAACAGAGAGAATGAGAAAGG